TTCTATTCTATTCTATTCTATTCTATTCTATTCTATTCTATTCTATTTTATTCTATATTCCTATTCTATTCTATTCTATATTCCTATTCTATATTCCTATTCTATATTCCTGTTCTATTCTATTCTATTCTATCTATTCTATTCTATTCTATTCTATTCTACTGAGCAGGGGGCTGGACTAGAAGACCACCAAGGTCCCTTCAAGTTCTGTTCTGATGCAATGGATGGAAACCAATCTCAGTAACGGCGACAGTTTGCAAACCCCGCTCCCTTCTAGCGCTGATGATGTTACCTAGTTGGGTAATGAAACGTCTGCAAGAAAACCACCAAAGCTCAGAAAGCAGCCAAGACCCCTCGTTTCAACCCTCGGCTATAAATATTCTCTTTCATTGGAATCGCGGATTTCTTCCACTTTGGGTTTGGGCCGGTACATCTAGCTCTCCAATCTGTTGGGAAACCCTCTAACCCAATGGGGCTGTAATAGGTGAGAGGCGCCAGAATTGTATTCCTTAACCGGGGAGACTTCCAAAACTGGATTTAGCCTTGAGAGCAAGACAGTCGGCCCTTCAGGTGCTCTGGAGAATAGATTGAGCCCTTCCTCTTCTTTGTGGCAGCCCCGGAGATTTTGGAACACTGCTATCATGTCTCCCCTGGTCTTCCTCCTCCTCCTCCTCCTCCTCCTCCTCCTCCTTCTTCTTCTTCTCCCCAAGTTTCTATTGTTATCCCTCCGCCTGCACCAAGCTAATTTCATTTTACCACGCCTTGATTCAGAGACGGCCAAGATTTACCGAATAACAGGGTTGGAAGGGGCCTTGGAGGTCTTCTAGTCCAGCCCCCTGCTGAAGCAGGAAGACCCTCTGCCATTTCAGACCAGTGGCTGTCCAATCTCTTCTTGCAAACCTCCAGTGTTGGAGCATCCAGAACTTTTGGAGGGAAAACATTAATGGTTCTCACTGTCAGAAAGTTTCTCCTTATATTTCCAGGTTAAATCTCTCCTTATTCAGTTTCCATCCATTATTCCTTGTCTGGCCTACAGGAGCTTTAGAAAATAGCTTGTCCCCCTTCCTCCTCTCTGGGGCAGCCCCTCAAGTATTGGAAGGCTGCTCTCCTGTCTCCCCTGGTCCTTCTCTTCACTAGACTAGCCAGGCCCAGTTCCTGCAACCATTCATCGTATGTTTTAGCCTCCAGTCCCCTCATCCTATAGCAGGGACTGCCGCTGCTTAAACAACCCGCGGTGTACATCATCAAAGGAAACCAGAACAGAGGGGGGGGGGGGAACCCTAAGGCATTTCAGCTGCTATTAATCCTCCACCTAATAAAGGACAGCCAACAGCCAACAGCGAGGCACCCACATCCATCTCTGTGCATTTGTGACAGATGGAAAGCCAAGCTGGATGAGCGATGATGTCCCAGTTCTCTCAGCGCATCGGAAAACCATCAGCGTCTCCCATAACAATGTTTGCGCCTGTCAGTCTTTCTAATTCCGAACATGAATCCGTCTCCCTTCCTTCCTTCCTTCCGCCTTGCCAGAGAAGGGACCGTTTTCTGCAAAGTGGGCTTATTAATATCCGAGGCAGATACACAATCGCTCTTTCTCCCTTACCCGGGACCTGAGCCGCCAGGCCGGCTCATTGGAAGAGTGGAAGGGCATTCAACCGCCCAACTTGGCACGTTGGCGCCACTTATCACAGGAAGGCTTATCCGCGTGACAGATAACCTACTTTACTTTTTTCTTATTTTTTGCTCCTCCGCTAGAATATTCACAAGGCTGCCTGGTGGGCACCGGCTTGTTCCTCTGCCAATCAGCCCCACCCGGCCAACAGCAGAGAAGCAACAACCATCAGCAGATAGAAGAAGAAGAAGACGTTCGAAAGCTTCTGGTGACACGCCAGCCTGTGAGTCAAAAGTCGGCCGTGTGCCGTAGAGGTCCCAAGTGACATTCAGGGGTTTATGTAGCTTCCAGCCCACATCAACGGCACATTCGATCCGGTTGCAACGGGGGAGATGGTTAAGAGAGAAAGAAGCCGTTTGGGGAATTGGGGGTGTATGATGACGCATCTTTGTCTAACTGCCTTCCCCTATTTCCATAAGCCTAACTCAGGACAGATATAGAGATATTGTGGGAAAGGTTGTTATATATCAGGGGAAAACTTATACTTCTAGTTGGCGTGTGTGTGTGTGTGTGTGTGTGTGTGTGTGTGTGTGTGTGTATTAGATCAGAGGTCTCCTAACTTGGCAACTTTAAGACTGGTTGAGTTGCCCAGAATTCCTCAGCCAGCTTTCCTGAGAAAGGAAAGAGAAGAAATGAGAACAGAATAAGGAATAGGGAATAGGATAGGATAGGAATAGAATAGAATAGGATAGAATGGGGAATAGAATAGAATAGGGAATAGAATAGAATAGAATAGAATAGAATAGAATAGAATAGAATAGGGAATAGGATAGGATAGGATAGGGAATAGAATAGGGAATAGGATAGGATAGGGAATAGGATAGGGAATAGAATAGGGACTAGAATAGAATAGAATAGAATAGAATAGAATAGAATAGAATAGAATAGAATAGAATAG